TCTCTCTCTCTCTCTCTCTCTCTCTTTCTCTCTCTCTCTCTCTTTCTCTCTCTCTCTCTTTCTCTCTCTCCTATAGTAGTTTGTCTCCATCGTTAGTTACCCGCTCGCCCAGAAATCAATACAGACGTTCGGGCGATAACTATTCAGATAGATGTCGCTATCCTTCGGTAACCTTCAGAGCGCGCGCTATCAGCCTGCGAGTCGGCTATTAGTGTACTGCATAATACGACGTCTTCTGTACTATCGAATCCCTGTGGAAAATCAATCCGGAGTAGAGAGATGCCTGGTGGGAGTTTCGTAAGAATATCCGCTCGGAGTATATCCGTGCGTTAATGGCATGCGCGGAAAATGCGTGACTATACACACGCGCACATAGTGTTGCCGATGCAAGCGGGCGTTTCCATGGTTTCGTTTGCGAAGTATTCTAAGGGTTTGCGTCAGTATAGTACGTTAGTACGTGCGTGCTAGGCTCGAAAGGTTTCTCGTAGCCTCGTTTTCCTGCTGGTGAAATCTTTCTTGGCAGAGTTTCGTATATATAGGCTATTCTTTTCATCCTCGGTTGAAATAGTATTTCATTTCAATTATTCTAGCTCTGATTTGGTTTGTTTTTGCAACAGTAGGCTCGAATGGTAAGTTTCAATGTTCGGCTGTTAAAACTGTATATGTATATCAACTGTGTGAGCCCTCCTTTGTAAATTATACTAAACCACGTGGCCATGGAGCTTCGCGAGATACCACGAGTAGATGAGCTTCAACTGTTCTTCCCCAGGTTGCTATACGTTACAGTCAGCTGTGCTAGTATGTGTGGATGCGTCGGTGTCCTTTCACTCTGTCGTGGGTGGTGTGTGTGTGTGTGTTGTACGTTTACCCTGCTGGAGAGAATGCCGTAACACCCTAACCCCACGTGGCTACACCCCCTTTCTCGTTGACTACCGCGTTTGATTTCAATAGCTGCCACTGTGTGGCGCCAGTGTAGCAGGCAGGCAGACGATCATTGCACAAGTAGTGAGCAAACATGCTTTAGAGAGTAAAGTCAGGCTTCAGTCTTGCAGTCGTCATTTGCAACCCTACATGGCCAGACCGCAGAGTGGCACATTGTCTAGATATCCACCGTACATACTCAGTAAATATCACTGATATAATCATTTATCTGCATTCATCCCATAATCTGTCGCAGTGAAATTGCTAGTGCGAGCTTATTCCATATTAATCAAATACATGAGATACTCATCGGCCCATGTGCATAATTGTTGTAGTCGTCATTGTGCCGCCATCATAGTTAATTGTAAGTTATTTTCAAATATGCACGTACACGCGCGTGCGAACGTATGCACGCACACACGGCATATAATATGGACAGAATAGAACAGAACGTTGGTACAAACTGTATGCTTGTAGGAAATTCGATTTCAGCGTGACAAATATCTACGATCGGAAAGTGTAGTGTGTGGAGCGGTCGAGTGAAACCGTCTGCGCGATCGATATACATGAATTACAAAGTATAGCGTCGGCTAGGGACGATAGAAGCTAGGCCACAGTTCCAACTATTTCTTCCCTGAAGGCATGCGTCACGTATATACGGACCCCCCCCCCTCCCCACACACACACATACACCTCATCCAAGCCAGAGACACGTTAAACATTCACTCTCCTGGCAATTCCCTGCTCGAATTCTAAGCGATTCGTCGTGGATACGAGCCATGCGATAAAGTGATAGTTTCTGAGTGTCCCCGAGATGAGAAACTGCAGAGAAACTACGCTTGTCAGTGATTAAAGTTGTGCGGCATTTTACAGCAAAGCGTCGAGAGGGGATATTGCATTCGTGATCTCGTTTTATTATTTTATTTTCTTTCCTTTTTTTCGTTTCGGGTATGTTATGTTGGGGCTGAGTATATGCATATCTATATCCGTTTACTACATGTTTTCGTACCCAGTATTGTGCTCGTATCCAATTTCCTCTTCGTGTTTCTCTCGTGTCTGATTATTTTAACGACGTTCCTATTGTAAGCATGTTGTTCATAACAAAAATTTGCGACTTGAATAACATTACCAATAACAATATTTTGCGTATAGTTATTACCGGCGTCTATTATAATTATCGTCATAATTAGTGTGTTTGTTATTGTGCATTTAAAGATAGCTATAAGAAATGGTCTTTGTTAATGAGTGCTTTGTTTATCAGTGCTTTGTCTCAAGCGGAGTCCGTCACAGTTTTATCTTCCCGTCTGTCGTTTATCGTAGATTGGCAATATTGAGCGGACAGGCCGTCATCATTTTAAAAAGATGGCTTTCTGGCTTGCGAAGCCCCGCACGCGAGCGCGCCTCGCGTGAAAGCCGATGAAATGAAATGAATAAGGACGTTATCGGATTTTACGTGTGTTAGAGTCGCGGGCTGGGGATGAATGATTGAACCGGAGGTTTCAGTGAATTTCACTAGCGCCGTGTAATGAAGCTAGTTAGTTACTCGGTCTGCACGGACGCTCATCCTATTTGTTCTAGCTGCTTCCCTTCTATGAAATCAATGCTGCTGTGAGAAAAAATCAGAGTGTGCGGGGAAGGGATGTGCTCACAAGGGCGTGGCCAGGAATTTGGATTGGGGGGGGGTCCTCGAGCGAGTAACAAGGGGGGTCTGGTGGTCTGAAATTTTTTTTTTAGTTAAATGTAAAAATAGTGCTTTAAAATCAATTTAGACGCTGTTTTGTTGACAATACTATTTCTTCTGCAGCTCTACAACGACACCTACCTCGACCATGCTGTGTGACATTTTTTTGTTGTTGTTGTTGTTGGGGGGTCTTGTGTGCTCGGTAGCTACAGTCAGATCGTACAGTACACAGATATCGGTGTAAGATTGATGGTCTCTGCTATAGGTGATGCGTTGTCACGTAGCAGTTCTCAGTGGCTGGGGGTTTTTTGCTTCGCGTGTATTTTTCAGATTCAGTTCTTGAGTCGGGCTCGTGGGCGTGTGTGTGTGTGTGCTGTACCATCGTGCGCAAATGAAATAGTTGTCTTGTCGTTTTTTGAGATACCCTGTCGCCGTGCCGATAGGCGGCAGCACAGTAGACCAGTCAGCTTCGTTTTTCTCAGACCTGTTTCGCGCACAAACGAAACATCACTTCTGTCATAGATATCGCCTGCCGTCAGTGCATTAACTAACCGCAACGTATAAGAACTCGTAACGCACCCGTCGAGGTTGCATCGGTTTACGCAGTTGACTGACGCGAAGAACACGATTAGTTGAGCCACCTGCTTACATAAGGTGGTTAACTGCAAAACTTTATTTGCATGCATAAAATGTGTCAGAATTCACCATTTCAGTGCCAACGTCAAAATCGTTCGTAGCTATCAGCCACTTCTACACATCACCCAAAATTTAATCAATTTCTTCAACTGACACATAAACACGCACGCACACACGCACGCACGTACGGTTGGTACATTGGAACCCCCAGCTATCTATTTCGCGTTTAGGCCACTGCGGAGTGTGCAACCCCATGACGTCAGTGATAAGAAATCGACGGCAGTTAATACCAGTTATCATCGAACACTCGTTAAAACGTTAGGTGACGAAAGCTTCGTGCCATCAGAACGCGACTAGCTAACAGTTTAGAGGTGGCCTTGTCCTTGTTGGCACTTATACGGCCTGACATCCTTCGCCACCTACCGGTTTTAAGAGTCATTAGGTCGTCTCAACGGGGCATGCTCTGATTTGTGGAAATTAGATAAAATTAGGTCAAGCGCAGTGGTTGATGCAATGATGGGTACGTGATGTTTAGATTGGGACTGCGGGACGTTATACAGACCCTATACTGGGAATTACGATGCGCAGATATGTGTCAACTAGATTCACTCGTCATCCTGTCTCCGGATATTCTTCGTCTTCTTCGTCGTCGTCGTCGTCGTCGTCGTCGTCGTCGTCGTCGTCGTCGTCGTCGTCGTCGTTTGAAGGTGTTCATGCTATAGCGTGAAGGTGTTCATACTATAGCGTGAAGGTGTTCATGCTATAGCATGAAGGTGTTCGTGCTATAGCGTGAAGGTGTTCATACTATAGCGTGAAGGTGTTCATGCTATAGCATGAAGGTGTTCATGCTATAGCATGAAGGTGTTCGTGCTATAGCGTGAAGGTGTTCGTGCTATAGCGTGAAGGTGTTCGTGCTATTGTGTAAAGGTGTTCAGGCTATTGTCGATGTGCAGGTGAAAGGAGGAGCGGCGGAGGCTGATGGTAGACTCATGCACGGTGATCAGATACTTAGTGTGAACGGCGAAGACATGAGGCAGGCGACGCAGGAAGATGCAGCAACCATCCTCAAGGTGAGAGCATGATGCACGCACACACATACGCACGCACGCATGCCATGCACAAGCACGCATGCATACACGCACGCACACACGCACACGCACAAGCACGCGTGCATACACACACACGCGCACGCACGCACTAGCACGCATGCACACACACGCACGCACGTACTCACACGCACGCATGCATACACACACGCACACACACCCACGCGCAAGCACGCATGCACACACACACGCACACGCACCCACGCATACAAATATATACTACTTAATGTATAATTATGTTACTACTCTCATCGTATTTTTGTGATGGTTAGAGTGTGTGGGTTTTTGTTGGAAGCCTGCTATGTTCAAGCAGTAAAGTATAGACGAAAATAGCTACAGGATGTTGATGATAATGATTCTATGTGACTACGTGTAACTTATCGCTATAGTGTGTGTGTCATGGATACAGAGAGAAAAACCGGTCATATGCAAATGAAGAGATTAACAGTCTCTCACTTTAGAATCTATAGGTATTCAATTACAGAGTCCGGTACTTTTGCAAAATGGATTAAAACTCATTTTCTAAATGTGAAATGCGTCATGCACAATTCTGTGTGAAGAAGATGAATCCAATAAAATTCCTGTAGATTTCCTGCCATATTTTCTAAAAGGCTTTAGTTTTTTAATGGGCATATAATGCCATTCTGTAAGACAATCTCTTTAAATCGCCGTTCTTTTTGAAAAGTAAAATAATCAGTTAAACTAACTTATAACCTTTGGTATAATTGGCGTACTATACAACGTATAGCGTGTTAGTAGTCGAGTAGGCGATGTAGGCGGTATACAACACTGTCTCGATCTCAAATTCAAACTCCCTTCTGCTGGATTTCATAATATCATCGGCTAACTCGTGTTTGCGATGTTCATTATGTTAATATCTCCTGCATCCTTATAACATGATACGTCAAGCCTCAGCGAATAGGTGCATACCATCTATCATGTACCCTGTTATACAGAGTAATATAATGTTATATACAGTAAAAACCCGCGTATAAGAACATAGATTTTTCCAAGTTAGCCTCAACATGTTCTTATCTACTACTACTACTACTACTACTACTACTACTACTACTACTACTACTACTATTACTACTACTACTTCTTCTTCTTCATCATCATCATCTTTTTCGTCTTCATCTCATATACTTCATTTTTATCTTCAAATTTTCTTCGTTTTTCCTGCTTCTTTTTCGTCTTCTTCTTTTCCTTCCTTCTTCTTTTTTTCTTCTTGCTCTTCTTCTTCCTCCTCTTCTTCCTCCTCTTCTTCCTCTGGGAGGGAAGGAGCTGTGTCGCCAGCCAGGAACGCATACATCTACAGATGCGTTCATGAATGCCGGCAAGCATTGCGCGGTGGTGCCGGCGGGCAGGAGCGCGTGAGGCGGTTTCTCATGCTAATGGGCTTATTACTGCCTGCCCGCAGCGCCCCGAGATAGGTCACGTCCGCGGGGATGGACCATTTAGCCAGGTCCGACACATGATCCTACACACGTAGCAATAAATAACGTCGGCTGTCGACGTCCGAGTCACGTGCCATCTCTCCTACTATACGTCTTGTTTGTTATTACAGGAGAGACGAACCCCTGGACGAGTTGGCTGTGAAACCGATCCGGTTCTACGGAACGCTAGTGGCGCAGGTGCGTGGCGGCGATCGCAGCATGATGGCTTCGGGCTTCCTTTTAATATCCACCATGTTTTAATCCTGGTATAATCCGCCCCAACGCGTTAATCCCTCCCGCTGTTGAAATTCTTCGTCGCGTGTGGGTACTACGTCTACGGTAATTGCAATGCCTTCACTGCTGCACGCACGGAGGTAGAGTTTGAAAGGTTTGCGCGACGGGAAACGCGCGTGTAAGGGGGACAGGGTGAATGCGCGTGACACGCTGAATCGTCAGTTTCTTTCGGCGGCTTTAGACGCACGTTAATGCACTTACTGATGTGCGTGAGTGCGACCGATGGAGCTGTTAAGATGCTGCTGCATAGAGTAGGTGCTAGAGTAGTGCGGGTCACTGTAGCTGATGCTAATGTCTCCTCGTAACAACGTCTGTATGTGCGATAACTTTATTGTGCGAATATGTGATGCGCACTTGCAAGGACAGTCTTACAAGATGTTGCGGGGCATTCGTACGACACGCTATTTTCACCAAATGGAGCTCGTATTGAGTATGGCATTTAAAATTAGCGTTTGTTTAGGATGAAATTATATCGATTGCAACAACGAACAACAGCAAAAACAGTGGGGTAAAAGCACGTACGAGCACAATTGTATTAGGAGACTTTGCTACGAGACTAAAGAAGCAACTTTTTCTCACAGAATGATGCGGCTCGCATTTCCCGTTATTACTCTAACCATTAGCTGCCCTTTCTTCCCCCATTAACCATCTACGAAAGAAACCGGCAGTTTTCTGTCGACTTTTTCATCCGGTACTTATTTCGGTGTGTCGCCCACACATTGTGAGATTGCGGGGATATTCGCTGCGTACGTGCGTACGTGCGTACGTGCACCCGCCGCTTGTCCACACAGCTAGCATTACGCATCTGTCTAATGAAAAGAGAAGCCTACTGGATTCACAATCTGAACACTATCCAGCCAGATGGACTCAACCTACGGGTAGAGATTCCGGGATGGATCGAAGACAGTCACATCCCATCTTCCACCCCATCCATACCCCCACCACCCTCCTACCAGCATGGTATTCACGTAAGGCTATTCCTAGCCAACACCCCCAGGGTAGCGGGCGGTTCGATTTACCATTTTTACTACTTTTTTTTTATTACATACCTCATCTCTGTATATCATAGAGTATATCATCTCTGTATGTGCGATCATCTTCCATCAGGATGGCACTGAATCACGACCAGTGGACGACGTCAAACCCAACAAAGTCGACAGCAGGCTGGCCGACTACGACGACTACCCGAATGTCTCAGCCGTGACAATTGCGCGAAAGGTACAGGGGGCTGTTATCGGCTGTATAGCGGGGTTCCTTTAGTGTCATATGTGTATAGGTACAGGGGGCTGTTAATTGTTAATAGGTGGTAACCAAAATACAGCATACTATGTATGTATAAGGTACAAGGGGCTGTTATCGCGCGTATATAGCGGGGGTTTACCTCAATAGGGATTGGGTGTCAAATGTGTATAAGGGTACCAAGGAGATCTTGTGCGTACCTCAGGTTGTACATCGGCTGTGACACAAAATACGAAATCGCGAAAAACGGCAAGTGTTCGGCGCGCGTGTTGCAAGGCAGGAACGGCATCAACGGGGCCATTGTCTCGCGCCGTGTTTAAATTAAAGGTGTGGGCTATCAATATGTGTTAGTACCACATTGAGGTGACGTTGCGTTACTACGGGGGGGGGCTGTTATCGGGGTCTGCACACCGCCGTGTCAAGAGGGCGGGGCGAGTGCTGTCACTCGGTCAGTCGACAGAAATCACATTGTGTATAGGTACATACAGGGGGTGGGCCGCGAGCATCAAAGTGTAGGCAGGCTAGCGCTAACGCAGCAAACCAGCAACGCCGGCCAAACCCCCTGCACCCACGCCTGCCGATGCAGACGGAGATAAACGGAATCGACTGACGGCGAGGCTCCAGAACGGAGATAACTCCCGTGTACTGACAGTGGACGGAACTCGAAAATTGACACGCGATGTCACGGACCGTTACTGAGGGATGGAACCCCAGACGGTGGTCCACCCCCCGTGTACCGCGCACAAAAGAAGAAAATCCCAGACCGGAGGTCACCGGAATAGACGGTTAAAGGAGGGAGAGAGAGACTCAGACGAAGGTTAACCAAACCCGTTTACTCGGAGGTGAGAGAAGCCCAGATCAGGTGGTCACCGGCCGTTACGGCAAAAAGCAGATCGCCAGACGGAAGGGTCACCCAAACGTGTAAAGGAGGAGAGGCTCAGATCGGAGGTACACCCCGCGTTCACGAGCTGAGGCAGGAACTCAGAACGGCCCGAGGTAGACCACCGTTACGGACACACGTACGAAGTGGTGCGCGTGTAAAGGGGTAAAGCAGCGCAAGTTAGAGTAGTCGCGATAACATTTAAATTATTACCCTATCTATCTTTCTCGTCTCGATGGTTGACTCGTGAAAAATGTCAGTCGTCGTATCAGATATTCGCCGTTAATTTACACTTACAATATAGTGTAGGCATACCCGCACCCACGATGCCACGGTGCTGTTATCGCGCTGTAATAAAGCGGGGTTTCCCGATTGTGCTCCAATAAATGTGCTAGTAGGGGTACTACGTTAGGTGCGCTTGGTTATCGCTGCTGTATAGCTGACGGGGGGATGCGCCTTAAGCTGCTCATAGGAGTGTAATAAGGTACAAGCGGGGGACTGAATTAAATCGGGGAAAGCTGTAGTAGAGGGTCAGCCATTAGTTCACTAACTGTGTAACTAGCGTACAGGGGGGGACTGTATAATCAGGCTGTACTAGCGGGGGAGGTTCGCTTAGTGTCATATCTGTGTACAGGGTGGGTAAGCAGGGGACTGTCTATCGACTATATGGTATAGCGGGGTTTTCCCTTGAGGTGGTCATATGGTGTAAACGTACACAGGCACGCGAGGCAGGGGGCTGTTAAATCGGCTTGTATAGGCGGGGAGTCCCTATAAGGTGAAGTTATCAGTAAAGGGGGTGAGAGGAGGGAGCATAGGGGGTGGAAGGGAGGGGATGAAGAGGTAGGGGGAGAAATGAGGTAGGCAAGCGGTGCATTGCGTTGCTCAAGCTGGTGAAGTGAGCGCCGGGGACAAATTCCCTAGTAGTGTCATAGTGTGGTAAGTAGGTACAGTGGGGGCTGTTTACGGCTGTAGTAGGGCGGGGAATTCCGTAGTGTCAGATGTGTATAGGTACAGGGGGCTGTTATCGCTGTATAAGCGGGGTTCCGCTTATAGTGTCATATGTGTACGGTACAGGGGGTGTTACAGAGCGTGCCCACCGTCAGTGTCGTGGCTTT